CCTCATTCCTTGATATTTCTTTTGCAAGGTTTAAGGGACTGTTTTAAAAATATTTTAGAAAGCGTTGGCCATGTGGAGCAGCCCTATAGCAACCCCTTTGTTGTCTTGAAGTTGGAAAATTTCGTTTCCATCTTTATTCTTACTATATTACTTGTATACATGTTTTTTACTGTCGTTTTCAACTATGTGGATATATCTATATCTCCATAGCGTTCCACAACTTGGGTTTTGATACCAAGTCATATGTTTTCTTTAAATATATAAACGCATAGTGGATTGACCTGTTTTTACCATTAATATCTTCCTCTAGTTTGTTTTTAAAACCTTTGTCATACAATCGACCAGTCACAACATTAGAGGAAAAACTCTTAAATACTGTTTAAAATGTTAAAGGATACATAAGTGTTTATAGAATAGAGGAAATTCTCTTTGTAGCAGCGATTAACAATGCATGGGAGATACATCTAAATAAGGCACGATTATGAAAGAAAAAAATTAAATTGACGGCTATAATCGTCACATTGAATCAAATTCTTAGATTATGAAGGCAGGAAATACGTCTTCTTCCAGTCATCTCTTACAAAGTACTCTGATTTCATCTTGTTTTTTGTGACAAGCGCTTTCAAGTTCTTTTTCTGCAGATAATTTTTCGATGACGTCAATAATGTTTTTTTCTCGTATTTCTTCCAGCTGTCCATTTTCTCTTCTATAGTTATTATTGAACTGAATTCTCTTCTATAATTATTATTGAGTTGAAGATAGAAGGAAAACGGGGCATCGGAAGAAAGAAATACTCATGGCTTAAAAACATAAGGGATTGGACAAACCTCGATGCCCATGCAGTCTTTAGAGCCACGCAAGATCAAGAGGAGTATGCCAGAATTGTCACCAACATCCACTAATTGGATATGGCACCATAAGAAGAAGATAGCTATTATTGGCTTCCCTTGATTATCTATTAGGCATCCAGCTTTATTAGGAATGTAGAGGCATGCTACAGTCTTAACTTTTTAATGTAGATTGAACATATCGTGTTTTTCCTCTAATCTTACTATTTATTCACAGTTTTCCCTTAGCAAGTGTTTTGCTAATCTGCGCAAAGGATGTTACTTAGTAATACTCCGTTTACTAAAATACCTTCATCCGTCTCATGTAATGCTTTCGCGAAGATTTCTTCAGAGTATATATTAAATAATAATGGTGAAATGGATTGGTGAAATTCCTGAAACATATCACGTAACTTAAACCACCGCAACTGATGTAATGGGCAGGGAAGAGTCCAATCGCTAACTCTAGTGAGTCACGCTCGATAAGGTAATTTACGCTCACGACGCACATTGGGGTCAAAACGCGCTTAAAAATATTTTTTCTTATATTTAATCAATTGATGATTAGTAAATTTGCATAGGCCTACCTTTTTGAACAATCTTAACTGGAATTTTAAAGCCCTTTGTCCAGTACAAAGCTAACGGTATCTTTTAGACGTCGAAAGTTATGAGTTCAGGAATTTGAAAAAAATTTTAAGCAAATAATCTATCTAAGCATATAATATATATATATATATATATATATATATATATATATATATATATAATATATATATATATATATATATATATATATCTTATTGTGAAGATGTACAAATTAATATAATATGAATTTATATATAGATATGACACCTCGAAAAACTTTTTTGAAAAATATTTGTTCTATTTCCTGTCAATTTTCTTATATACTGAACATTTTATTATTCTCGAATTCGTTTGATAATATATACTACCCAACTACTTGTCCCCAACGGGTACGTGTAACCAACACAAAAAAGACTGCCAAATTTCTAGGCTATACTTCAATCTTCATTATTATTTTCGCTTTAGTGTTTTTGCCCCACTTCATGACGGATCTCGTCATGAATCTCGTTATCTCACGTAACTCACCTAACACTACCCGATAAAATGATTTATTCTTTTATGTTACATGTCAGACATTAAGAAATATATTATACAACAAAAACTGTAGAAATCATAATCATTTCCACACAAAAATGGATTATATACTTTTTGTATAGAACTTATAGTGCTTGGAAAAACTCTCATCATAATCTGAATAACCCATAAGGTTGTAGATAGATGACTGATTTTGCTTTAATAAATATCTACACGTCTAATCATCGCCTGGTCAGTACACTGAGTAATAATAAGGTGAACCTACTAACCTAAAAAATATTCTACTTTAAAAGATAAGATTGGACAGAGAGTTACTCACTTTGCTATTGGTGAGATTTGACCAGACTATCCGCTCCAATTCTACTCACGTATTTAATGGACGCCCATTAACTTATATTAATCTTAAGATGAGACCTAATCTATTTAGAAGATAAGCAACATAACTTCGGGCGCAAAATTTGTCTTTTCACCCATGTAAATCTCCATAAAAAAATCCAAGGTCCAAAATAGCAAATTTGTCACAAATTGGCTGCGTTGGAGCTAAGACGCCGTTGACTTGATGCTAACTTCGAGTCAGAGTGAAGTTAGCATTAAGTGAACTTCGACTAAGCGTGAAGTTAGCATCAAGTCAACGGTGACTTCGCTCCAACGGGGCCATATGTCCCGATCCGACGAGCCGTTCTCGAGCTTAGCGACTTTGTGATCAATTTGCTATATTGGACTTTAGACGGAGATTTACATGGGAAAATGACCAATGTGCGCTCGGAGTTACCGTGCTTATCTTCTGTATTTTATTGTGCAATCGAAAATGCTAAAAACATTACTACCCTAAATAGCCGTATATGTAATAATAAAGTCATTTTGTATTAGAATATTTAGGTTACCTAGTACATTTTTCGATATAGGAAAATTGTAATTGCCATGCAAATCTCTGTGTGCCAGATACTGACGGCCAAATTTGTGTATCTTGTATATTTATTATTCCTTAGCTTTAATTATCTTACTGATGATTCTATTAATGTGCTGCGTACTGTAGATATGGTTATTAATATACTTAATGAAAAATTGTTGTTTTATTCAGTTTTATCCTACCTATACTAACTAACAGACTAATAATCCCTACACTACATGAACTATTTAATCATCCTCCTATTCAGTCTTAATCCCTTTTGGGATGTGGTGACAGGCCTTTACAGTTTTTTTATAATTTTCCTCCATCCTTCTCTGTCCTGGGCTAGTTTCGGCTTCATGTAACCCTTGATTAATCAAAATTTTTGTTTGATCTACCTAACGGCTTGGAGATCTTCCCCTAAGTCTCTTTTCTTCAACTCTACCATCGACTATCAGTTTTTCCATCGTACCTGTTTTTCTAGCAATGTGTCCGAAATACTGCAAATATCTTTGTTATATTTGTTTAAGCAATCTATCCTTTACTTTAAATTGTTCTAATGAAAGAGTGACATTTTAGTCTGCAGCAACGCTACAGGATCTCACAAACTCCCTTTAGGGTTTATCGGAAAGTCAAAAAAACCTACGGCTTTCAAAAACTTTAGAAACTTCCTTGCCAAGTTTGGTATTATCATCAAAAGAGTGCTTGGATGAACAGTCTTCTATTCAAAGAGTGGTTTCATAATCAATTTGTACCAAAGGTTGAAAAACATTTACCAAAAAATAATGGCAGTTCTGCTGTTGGACAACGTACCCTCTCATCCCGACCCAGAAGAACTAAAAGATGGCGAAATAAAGTGTCTTTTTTGCCTACAAATGTGACATCCCCGTCAGCCTATGACCAAGATGTTATAGAATCTATAAAACGTGTCTATCAACGAAAGTTACTGACGGCATTGATTACTGGAATGGATAAAGGAGAAAACGTTAGAGAGACTCTAAAAAAATTGGACGTGTTGGTTGTGGGTGAGACAAGCATGGGATGACATAAAACCAACAACAATGGTAAGGTCATGGAGGAAGCTGTTAGACCACAAAACATCTGATGAGTGGACGGGAGAAAAACCAGAGAAAAGTACCAATGAAACTTTCAACGAAGAAGAGATCGCTGAACTGGTAAAGAACCTGCCGGAATGTGAAAAAATGAAGGAAGACGATGTTAACAAGTGGTTGAGTGCAGACGAACAGAACGAATTAACAGACGGCGATATATTGAACATGGTGTGCCAGAATAATGATATAAACTACGACAACGAAAGGGATGAAAGCATTGACAAAAATCCAGTCATAATGAGCCAGAGTGCATTCAAGTCGTTCGAGACTATGTTGTGCTACGTTCAGTAAGGAAAGCAGCAGAAAATAATCATTTTTTTCAAAAACTAATGTGTAAGTTTATTAACCTTTTGTTTTTAGTATGGAGCATATAGTATGTATGTACTAAGTTTATAAAGGTTTACTTTTTGTTTATGAGAACAGAAATACAGCTTGAAACCTCTATAATATTTAGGTTTTTATTTTACCTTTCTTATCCAGTGAATAAATGTATGTCCAGATATTAAATGAACTTTGATAAAATTAAAGGCAGATATCGAGATATTAAGTGCCTAAAATGCTACAAACTATGTCTTGTAAAAATTTTAGGCCGTTTACAGCTACATATTCTTAATAGTCTTGATATCCGGATCGGTCGGTCGTCACATTGATCCAGATGTGTCAGGTTATACTGTAGATGTTTTTAATAGAGTGTCCCAGCCAAGGTTTCGAATAATTCTGAGGTTGTGTATGGTGGATGTATAAAGATTGTTATAGAATGTGTGTACTTCATTAGTTTTTAATTTTAGTTTTTTTCTATCACCGTATTCCCCTGGGATCTTTAATTTTAGTTATCTTTGATTTCCCTTTAGTTAATTTTGATCTCAGTACTCATGTTTTTATTGTTGCCCATTATCTATCATACATTGCAAACTAACTTATTTATCTCAAGAATATTTTACTTTTTCAATTCAAAAAAATTCTTTTTCAATTCCAAGTGATGTCAGAGAACTCTTAATCAAGTTTCATCGAGGTACTATAAAACTGTGAGGGTATTTTGAAATAAAACATACATTAGACAAACTTGTAATTATATTCCAAAACTATTATATTAAACAACATATGAATGCCTTAACAATGTAATATTGTTAGCAAACTGAGGAGTTACTGTAAATAAATACAAAAATGAAAAATAAAATTGAAAGTTGGTGCTTATTGAGCCCACCTGAAACATTTAACTATACAGATCATCTTCAGGATCGTCCTGGAAGTTGGCCTGATCCCCTGCGGTGCCTCCGGGAGCTGCAGGTCCACCGGCTGCTGTCGGGAAACGGAAGTTGGTACCGAATCCGCGAGATTGCTGCAAGGTCTGGGCGAACATCTCATATTTTCTGATGTCGTTGTCTGAAACGGAACGTCTGGCGAAACGCATGGCCTCCTCGAAGTGAGCCCTGGTAATTTCTGGGACTGGATCGTCATCGTCCAACTAAAAAGCAAAGAATGTAAGAAATCAATATTAATACACACGATTTGAAATCAAATTACAAGAAAAGGCCTATACTACAATAAGAGACTAATTGAGTTTTTGGCTTCTGTTGGTACGAAGATCCAAATGACAGACATAGGAAGTGAGTCGACAGAATCAAGGGGATATTGGTCATATATCTAAGTTGTGGTTACTTCCCAATAAAAATAGTAAATGTTTGAATATCCTTATTAAAATATATCAAGCGCAAAATGTTTTTAAAAAAATTAAAAATCTACTTACATCCATAGCAACATTGGGATTCAATGCCCTTTCTCTTTCCCTCCTAATTTCGGTTTCGATGCTTTGCCTGATGGCAAGTTTGCAAGCTCTCTGGCAGATTTCAGTCAAATCGGCACCAGAAAAACCATGAGTTACTTTAGCGATGTATACAAGATCTACGTCTTTGGCTACAGGCGATTTCCTCAAGTTGGCTTTGAAGATTGCTTCTCTAGATTTCTCGTCGGGCAGAGGGATGTAGATCAACTGATCGAGACGACCTGGACGCAATATTGCAGGATCGATAATATCTACAAGGAGTACAAAAAATTAAACATCTATAAGGAAAATACGAGGGTAGTAGTACGTATAGTAATAAGCTCGTAGTTTTATAGTTCAGAAAATAGTCAAGAGGTGACTTTAGATACAGTAGAGTCTCGATTATCCGCCCTTCGGTTATCCGCCGTTCCGTTTTATCCGCCGCACCATTTATGCAAAAAAAAATTAATTTTGTATAATTTTGAAAATAATCTGCTACACGCCAATGACTGTACAGGTAGGAATTTGGTGTCAGGCTGCCAGACAAAATAGATTATTTACCTCCCCGTCCCCAGACCAGTCATAAATACTCTGTTTTTATAACTTTATTACTTTATTTGCTATTTAGTACACTTTCGTCGAATCAACTATTGTTCCTTTCAGTGAGTCATGCACAGTAAGGTTATTTGTTCGCTTTACCGTTTTGAGGCCCGTACGCTACGAGTAAGAGTTTATTCTTTGCTATCAATCGATCGTGGTTATGGAGAAACAAAAAAGGAAAAAGATTGTCTTATCAATGCAAGACAAACTAAATGCATTAAAAAGGCTTGATAAAGGGGAAACACTGCAGAGAGTGGCTGATGACTATGGTGTTGGTCGTCGTACTGTTGGAGATTGGAGGAAAAACCGATCAGAATTGGAAAAATGGTGTTCTTCACGAGCCACTGAAATCGACTTGAAAGACAGAAAATCCATGAAAAAAAGTGATTACGAAAAAACTAGCGAGGCTTTGTACATTTGGTTTGTCCACTTTAGGGATAAGGGAGTACCTATATCCGGGCCTATCTTAAAAGAAAAGGCATTGCACTTCCAAAAGCAATTTCAAGAGGGTGAGGCAGATTTTACAGCAAGTGTCGGCTGGCTAGACCGTTGGAAGAAGCGGTACGGGATTCGTCAGCTGTCTATTTGTGGTGAGAAATTATCATCAAACTTTCAAGGAATGGCTACATTTAAGAAATCGTTTCAAGCATTTATTAAGGCGGAAAATTTAACAAATGATCAAATATTTAATTGCGATGAAACAGGCCTTAATTATAAAATGTTACCCAATAAGAGTCTTGCAGCTAAAAGTGAATCAGCAGCTCCTGGCTATAAACGCAGCAAAGAGCGAGTAACCATTTTAGCATGTAGCAATTCCACGTCAAACCATAAGATGGAACTCACAAAGATTGGAAAGGCAAAGAACCCCAGAGCATTTAAGGGAATTTCAAGACATGCTCTACCAGTGAAATATTGCAATCAGAAAAGTGCGTGGATGAGCAGTAACATTTTTAAAGATTGGTCCTTCTCGGATTTTGTATCATTAACAGAGAAGTTTCTAAAAGACAATAATTTACCAAGAAAAGCAGTTTTACTGTTAGATAATGCGCCGACTCATCCTGATGAAAGTGAACTAAAAGATGGGGACATAAAGGCCATGTTCCTCCCTCCGAATGTCACAGCTATCTGTCAACCTATGGACCAGGGTGTTTTGGAGACGCTGAAAAGAAACTATCGGAGAATCCTTCTATCGACCATGATAGAAGAAATGAACGATGGCCGAGACTTAATCCCTATATTGAAAGCCATTAACTTGAAAGATGTGTCCTACTGGATCTCAAGTGCATGGGATAAGGTTGGGGCACAAACAATTACTAAGTCCTGGGATAAGCTGTTGTGTGAGGATGAAGGAACTGCTGACAACACTTTGGATGAACTTCAGGAAAATATATTGCCCTTAGTGAAACGTATCCCTTGATGTGAGGATGCGTCTTTGGGTGATGTTGGAGAGTGGTTTTCAAGGGATGAACAATATGAAATAACCGATGAAGAAATTGTTACGGTTGTTAATAGTGAAGGTGTTGAAGACATCGAAGAATTAGAGACTGTTGAGCCACAAAAAGTTTCACACAAAGAAGGAGTAAAAATTTTTGAAGCTGCGATATAATACGTCGAGCAACAAGAGGAAGCCAGAGCTGTCGATATTATGATGCTACAGAGATGGCGAGACTTGGCAGCAACACAACGAGATACATCAGCAAGACAGATGAAAATCACTAGTTTTTTTCGTTCACCCTAAACCATTATGTCTACAATATCCAATGTAAGTCAATGTTGAACTGATTCTAGTTTTATTTTAATCTTGTTAATATTATTATATACATAAAGTATACAGTACATAATTACACTTTTATTGCACTTAAATAAAGTCCATTGCAATGTTATTACAATAGCCCCAAACTTGTGTTTCATTTTCTACCCTCCCTATTATCCGCCATTCCAGCTTATCCGCCCTTCCGTCGACCCGTTTATGGCGGATAACCGAGACTCTACTGTATTTAGAAGTATTTTCTGTCTATGTGAAAAATCACTAACAAAAATGTTAGATCATATATGTTAGTAACTTAGATTTATATTTACAACTTGTAAGCAAACATATCAATTAAAAGTTAAAAAACTCATGGCAATGAAAGTTAGGTTAGGACTCCTTTATCTAAAATCTACGAAAGGCATATTTTGTCATCGTGACTGACAAAATATTACAGCTTTACTATTTAAAATGATTCTATCTTGTCTTCTATTAGTGATATATTTTTTAATTCTTTTTCCAATATGGCGTCATCTCATAACACATACAAATGGTACAAAAAAATAACTAAGCATAATACATTACCTGGCCTGTTTGTAGCACCGATAATAAACACATTCTTTTTGGCTCCCATACCGTCCATTTCTGTTAGAATTTGATTAATAACTCTGTCGGCTGCACCACCGGCGTCACCTACATTTCCACCACGCGATTTAGCAATTGAATCTAATTCGTCGAAGAATAGTACACAAGGTGCTGCAGATCGAGCCTACAAGAAAAAATAATTACACTTTGCATCTTACTAATGATATTTTTACGTCGTTACAGAACAAACAGCTACAAAATTTCCTCAACTCAAACTGAGGTTGCCGAATAGGGCTACTGATGCGAAAACGGAATGGAAAATTAATCCGCGATGGAATGTTCGGTCGCCTACAGAATTTTGTCAGTCCACATGGATATTACAAGAAGAAAAGTCTGTGTGCTAGTATTATTATTAGAGGATGACGAAGAAGATAAAACATTTATTAAAGCTACTAATTAAAAAAAAAGAAGAAAGTAACCGCATGCACTGTTTGTGGTGATTCTTACTACTGAAAATCATTTAGGTTTTCGTCGAAATTTACCTGCAACTGAACGTGACCGACAGCTGAATTTTTCATCTGAATCTGAATGGAAGTCTCTTAAATAACTGCAGCTTTAGGTAATATACCAAAACCTAGACGTGTGTTCACATGCATAGAGATACTACCACATAGTGAAAAATGTGACTTGATTATTTTTTTCAAGTTTGGCTTTAAAAAACAATCACCTGCGCGAAATTTATGAAGCGCAAATGAAACTTAAAAATATTCACTGCTGTTTGCAGAGTCGGGATTGTATTTTTATCCACAAAATGCGAAAAATAACTAAATGTTCATTTTCCTCGAGATGATTGTAACAATGATAGTTCAATTTCTTAGATCGGAGGTCACAACTTAATGTGTTTCCTACAGAGCTGGATCATCAGATCAACTACAACTTGAGTCGTTAGCAATGATCAACAATTATTCCGAATGACAGCCCGTTCTGTGGATAAGAGATAAATAGACCAAAAAATAGAAACATACCTTGTCGAAGATATCTCTGACGTTTGCTTCAGATTCACCAAACCACATAGTAAGCAACTCTGGTCCTTTAACTGAGATAAAGTTGGCTTGGCATTCATTGGCAATAGCCTTCGCTAATAACGTTTTACCGCAACCAGGCGGTCCATAGAACAACACTCCTCTGGACGGCTGCATACCGAACTTAAGGAACTTGTCTGGATGTTCAACTGGATATTGCACCAATTCTTGCAATTCTTTCTTGACATTAGCCAATCCTCCGATATCGTCCCAAGTGACGTTTGGCACTTCTACTATGGTCTCACGTAAAGCACTTGGGCTGCTCTTCGTCATGGCGTAACGGAAGTTTTCCATGGTAACTGCCAGTGAGTTTAGGACTTCTGCGTCAATTTGGTCGTCTTCGAGGTCAATGAGGTCCATTTTTTCTCTAATTTGTTGAAGGGCTGCTTCCGAACATAGCGAAGCTAAATCGGCACCTATAAAAAGAACAAAAATGTGTAAAGAAAACGATCTTGAAGTCCGGAGAACGATTTTGCATTAATTATATTTTATTTATATTTCTAAAAACAAGTTCAGAAAGCAATGATAGCCTCCTAATTTTGGTCTATATCACCATATTCATGAAGATGTCTTTAAAAATATTTCGTCAAAACAAGATTAATGATTTTCTCACCTACGTGACCATGAGTTTCCGCAGCGATCTGTTCCAAGTCGACATCATCGGCCAATTTCATGTTCTTGGTATGAATACGTAAAACTTCAAGTCTGCCAGTTGCATCTGGAATTCCAATATCGATTTCCCTGTCGAATCTTCCGAATCTACGTAAAGCTGGATCGATTGAGTTTGGTCTGTTAGTAGCGGCCATAACGATAACGTGGGAACTCTTCTTCATACCGTCCATCAAAGTTAAAAGTTGGGATACTATACGACGTTCAACCTAGTGAAAAAGAGTTATTTAAATTAAGACATCTTTATGCTGAAGAAAAAATTACATTGAGTTGCATGAAATGTCTCAAGTTACTGCATTCCTCTTTTATTTAAAATTAAATTACTATTTCATACATTATTTACAATACAATATATTTTAAATAAACAAACATACCTCTCCGTGTGTTTTCTCTCTTTTGGGAGCGATAGCATCCAATTCATCAATGAAAATAATAGCTGGGGAGTTCTTGTCGGCTTCCTCAAAGGCTTTACGAAGATTGCTTTCGGATTCACCGGCCAATTTGCTCATAATTTCAGGACCATTAATCAAGAAGAAGAAAGCTCCTGTTTCGTTGGCTACTGCACGTGCAATGAGTGTCTTACCAGTACCCGGTGGACCGTACAGTAAGATACCTCTAGGTGGTTTAACTCCAATAGCCTGAAAGAAGTTTATATATTTTTGTGTATTTTATAACAGTGAATTTTCATTAATAGTTTATGTGAATTTCCTTGACTTATCTATCTGGAACTAATTTAATATTGTTCAAACGTTTCGGCTAATTGCCATTTTCATGAACAGTTTATTTAATTCTTGGTTTAAGAACAGTTTGCAATGCAGTGCTGCAATGAAAGCCAACACATGGATAGAGCGGGATTTATTGTAAATCGAAAAACAAATGGCCTTATTATTGAATATAAAGCCTACAGTCAAAGAATGTGCTATTTTGCGATTAAAAGGGAAATTCTCTAATTACAGTTTGATCAATGCACATGTTCCAACTGATGAAAAACCAGAGGAAATAAAAGAACAGTTCTTCAAAGACCTAGAGCAATCCTAGAAATTAACATTAGCAACAGGCTAAGGAATCGAAATGTAATGCGGTAATATTATTCCTGTCATCTTAAAACAACTCTGATATATACAGCTGCCATTATTTTCTTATTTCGAACTTATTTACAATAATTTTGTTATTATTAAGGCATTATTATTTATAGGCATATTTATTAACGGAGCACTTCTGAATAATCTTAGATACGCTTCTTCTTCTTCTGGTTTCTATCCGTTTCGGATGTTGGAAATCATATTGGCAATCATAACCTTGCTCGCTGCGGCTCGAAACAGCTCCGTTGAGGTTTTCTTAAACGATGTTCTTAAATTCCGCAGCCATGATATTCTCCTTCTACCGGGTCCTCGCTTACCTTTGACTTTACCTTGCAATATAGACTGTAGCAGGGAGTAACGGTACGTTACGCGGGGAGTAACTTAAATACACAGATGGCACAATACTCCTTGCAGACAGCAGAGAAGGACTACAGATCTCGGTTGATCGCATTACACAATACTGCGAAAGGTATCGAATGGCACTGAATACAAATAAAACAAAAATCATGGCGGTAAGCAAGAACAGTATTGAGGAAGACAGTGTTTATGCTAAAGGAAAATTTTTAGGCAGGGTGCACAGATATCAGTACTTAGGTTGCAAACTAAATGAAGAAGTGGATAGAAGTACGGAAATAAAACGGCGTATTGAGATAGCTAGAAGTGCTTTTAATAAAATGAAAGCAATATTATGCAATGGAAAACTCAACATTGAAATTGGAACTAGAGTATTGAGAAGATGGTATGTGCTCTCTGTCCTGTTGTAGGGATTTGAGACCTGGACAATTACAGAGGCGACAGCGAGAAGACTCATTAAGTTTGAAAATGTGGTGTTATCGAAGAATGTGGAAAATATCTTGGACACAACACATAAAAAATGCGGAAACGAAAGAGGACAGGGGAGAAGACGAACGTCCTGGTTGAAGAATCTGAGAGAATGGAGTGGGAAAACGTCAATACAATTTTTCAGAACGGCTGCAGATAGTCAAATGTGCCATGACGATCACTAATGTCCTTAGAGATGAGGCACGTTATGAAGAAGAAGAAGAATGGACAGAATTCTGAGGAACTCAAAAAGACGAACAAAAAATCTACAAAAAATAATGAAATTGAAGCAATAAAAGTAGATACACTGTTCACAGACGGCCTAGTTCTTTAAACTGATAGTTAAGAACTAAAGAGACTGATAGAGATGGGACCGAAAGAGAAGGAAAATATAATATTGAATACCTATAAGAGAAACATAATATGGTTACTTAGAAACCATATAATTTCTAATGATGGAAAAATATACTTAGATGCGACAAAAATACTAAGAAAGACAATTAACAAATACTATGCATTAAATAAGATTCATAAACAAAGAAAAATTTTAAATTTACCTTGAAAAGACTGGGATGTCTCAGTGGTAACTCTACCATTTCTTTGATTTGAGCGAGCTGTTTTCTACAACCTCCGATGTCGTCGTATCCAACAGCGTTAAGAGCTTCTTCTTCCTCTTCGCGCTTGATTGGATCTCCATCACAATGAATGACTGTATCTGGAGCCACTATGCAGTACGGAGCGGGATCTGTCTCGACGACTTTGAATTCAACGGCTCTCATTCCTCCACGTACAACGAATACGTCATCTTTGTGTATTGGTCGATAGGCCTCCAGAAAGTAGGGTTTCAGGTATACTTCAAAGAGATTTCTGAAAAAATAAATAAATGGTTGTACAATGGTTGGTATGTATGTACGTTTTGAGATAAGGCAACGTCAAATACCATTAAAATCGTAAAATTAAACGTTTTTATTGTATAACTGCTCAGGATGTTTATCATATAAATGTTATGTGCGCTATTTTAATGGCGTTCAAAATCTGTTAGATTATGGCAAATAATAATGAAATATCCTCTTATGACTTTTCACACCATCCATATTTCACCAGTCTATTCCAAATATTATCGCGTGTTTTCTCAAAAGGAAAGGACTAATTTTCTCACTCAATCGAAATCTTTAAACAAGGAAATGCTTATCAAAAATAACTTCCCACAGCTAACAACGCAAGAATTTTAACATTTTACTTCAATTAATGGTATTAAACACACCTCCTTTTTTTGCACATTGAAATGATGCTGCTTAAAATAGCGTCAAAAAAGCCAAACAGTTAAAAAATATTGACCACAAAAATATTAATTTATTATTTTCTAATTGTATGTCTTCAATTACAGTTCAAAGGATTTTGAAAAACCACCATTACCATCAATTTAAACTGTGTTTGGTTCATGAATTGATGAGCGGATGGTGTGCGTTTTTGGACAGTAATATACCCGACAAATGGTAAATGCTGAGGTAATTCTATTGTACAAAAAAGGAGATCCCCATGAATTAGAAAAATGCAGACCTACAAGTATTTTTAGTTACCTATACAAACTCGAGAATAGTAACGAATCCTATAGGGAGGGAAAAGCCGATATGTGTGCTAGCCCTACAGTTAGGTGGCCTAATCACAGTCATTAAAAACAGAGGGTGTCCCATTACCCAGAGCACCTTAAGTAACTTTCAGATCATAAGCTTCCTCACGTAAGTCACACGATGAGGAAGGGTGGAGGAAAAGCCTGAGGGTCAGATAGGTACCACTTCAATAGCGAAGTGTGACCGGTTTGATCTTCGGACATGTGGATCCCACTTTACAATGGTATACACATGTTCCTAGGGGCAGGGTTGATCACTGCGCGTGTGTGTATAGTAAGGAATCGTCTTGAGAAAAAACTTGATTTCTACCAGCCAATAGAGCGGAATTTCATACCGAATTTGGAACAAATGATCACCTACAGAGCATTAAAACAGTAATAGAAAAGACTATCAAATATAATCGACCACTTGTTCCGGCTTTTGTAGATTTCCATAAAGCCTTTGACACGGAAGAATTTGACAAAATCCTGGAAGCACTACAAGCATGCCGCATTGACTACCAATATACAAGGTTAATTTACAATACATACAAGAACGCAACTATGTGGTGAAACTGTATAGAAACACGGATCATATCCCAATCGGCAGGAGTCCGACAGGGTAATACCTTACGGCCTAAACTGTTTACCACAGTACTAGAATAAGCTTGTAAAAAACTTAACTGGAAAGAGAAAGGTCTGAACATTGACGGTAGAAGATTAACAAATTTGAAATTCGCAGACGACATAGTTTTTAGATAGACATAAGATTTTTAATGTATCCGTCAATACTTTTAATCAAAACTTGTCACGCCAACACCCCGTATATCTGAGTAGTTATGTGTCTACAATATTACCTATATATGCAGTATTAGGTGTATTGTATGAACAATTTGGACGTAATCAGACTTGTTAACAATTAGTATCCAATAATTTGACAATCAGAGATAAGTCACGTATGATTCATGCATTCCTAAGTTCGAAATTCAAGACTATCCAAATCCAATGAACTCTCACGAACAAAAAAACTAAGCACTTCAAAGCATATAAATAATTGTTTCCTTGCAAAAACCTGATATATCGCTTGCATGTCATTATAACGACTTAAAAGTTATTCTAACGATATGATTCATCAAAAACAAATTACGGGGTCAACGTTTCTCGGTGTCTCAAAAACCGGTTGAAGACTTTAAAACATGACAAAACTTATATTTTTGAGTTCCTAGTTGGGAATGGTAAAGGTGGTTGGAAAATTTATAGAAACGTGTACAACCCTGTAGTAATTTTCATAGAGAATATTTTGAAAAACAATAAATCAACTTTTGATGATAAAATGACAACATTTAATATAGCAACTTCTTGCATTTCATGCGCCATCGTTTTCAGTCTTTTTTGTAGTCCTTCCAGTATCTTCATGTGAAAAACGAAACGTAGCAAAAGAAACATAAGGAAACCAAGACAACCAGAAATGGAAAAGAAAATAAAGCTACGTTCAAAGATAATAATGAAGTTAATAATAGATATTAAAGTTAATAAAAAGTTGATAAGTGGTTAAGTAAGGGGAAAATGATCGAAGAGTAGCTGGTATGACAAAGAACAAACGGTAATCAGGTATGTACGTAGAAGTAAAAAAGAAAAAGGACTGTAACCTTATGTTCCATATGCTCTTCCTTGACGAAAATTTTCCTCTAGAAGAGGAGAATGAGATAGTTATAAATGCAGACAATGTCGCAAATGACCAATTGAAAATAGGTGCATCATCAGGTATCAGGACTCAGTATTTAATCCCTATTTATTTCCGTTAATTTTCGATCAAATCACAGGGAAACTAGAGGGTAACATTACCTGGTGCTTAATATATGTTGATGATGTTGTATTGTTAGTAGGAAATAGTGAAAGTGACTTAGAACAAAAACTAGAACAGTGGAGACAAGCTCTTGAGGACAAAAACAGTATTTGGAATGTGCATTTAAAGTTCGAGTTACTACAATGGTATTTCTTTCTTTTAATTAGCAATTTATACTTGTTCCTTGCAAAAGATTACTGTTCTAGACAAAAATAAAGTGAAATATCACAGTAAAAATATATTAAGTTACAATACAACAAACATTTTTTACTTAGGATTCCAAGGTCTAATAAAAGCATGCACAAGTTATTATCTACTATTATTATTTTTAATAACTGTTAGATAAAAGTAATGAATACAGACTGCATTCCATATTCCTTGATAAAGGTTTACTAAAAACCTTATTTGCATAATATGTCTGTAAATCACTTAACTTAAAGTGGCAATGGTATGTCTAAAATAAATATTATATAATAAATATACCAAGACTTGGAAGGGTTTAATAGAAGACTTTTATAAGGTGGTTTATATATTCTGCTCTCAGGCAAAACTACTTTTACTTTGTAACTGATGACTTGCTATCAATTTTAGAAGTTAAGAAAATCTGCTGAAACCAGGAGCATGCCCTAACATCACACATATTAAACAGTTCAACAAAAAACAGCGGATACATTTATCGATCTGTCATGTGCTTATGATTATGGTATATTCTGGAAGGAAGGCCTACTTTTACAGCTCAGCAAATTGGTACCGTGCAACAGTTTCATCAAATTAATAAATAAAATGATGTCTGACCGCCTTTCCAAGTACTTGTAATTAAGAAACCAAGTACTTCTGAAATCTATAAAACAGCTTCACAAAACCTCCTTAAATTTCTTTAAGGGTTACAAATTTAATTTCTGATTTATTGAATTGTTTCATTACATTGCGATAGATTGTCTCCTTCATTCATCGGAAATGAGCTTTCCATATATTCAGCAAAACATTCAGCTTTTTGTTTATACTTCTGGCACAGCTACCATTTGCTTTTCTTATTGGAAGGTTATACATGATAGGTCACTAAGATTCTTATGTCACTTTCTATAGCAAATAATCAGTGGTTTTGTCACTAGTTAACACATCTAGGTAGTCTCCAATTGATCATTTGTGTTCTCGTAATTTTCTTTTTAAGTTTTGCTTTGCATTATTCAATTATGTCACTAAAACCAGGCAGGTATTTGCTTTGATGCCATCTGGACATTCGATTTTTAAAAATTGTATCTTATTACTTCTTTTGGATTATTTCTTGATTTCTTATGATTAAACTCGGGTTAGTATCATTCCCTGTTGCATCTTGAATCTGCTTTGTGTACACCTCCACATCAGCATCAAGTTATTCTTTTGTTTTTAAAGAAACAGCAATCACCCCCAATTTTTCTTTAAAGCTTATCCAGTTAATCTGTCTATTCACTAATCTAATTCAAATCTCTTTTTCTATTAGTTCAATACTATCAGGAGGACTGGAGAATAACATGAATTCATGTCCCATGCGTCTTCTATTTTCAATTAATTTGAGCTTATATTCCTAACCACAAAAAGTCAATCAAATCAGGCAAATTTTATATCAGCCAGTATTTTCCAGTAGACATTACATCGAACTGTGGTTGTTTACCAGCTTTAAGCAGTTGTCTTCGCTTAGTTGTTAGTCTTGAATCCAAATCTATATTTTACACATTGTAACAGCTACACATTTACCACAAATTTATTGCCATTGGAATCCAAGTATTCTTTGTATAGTTCTAGTTTAACAAAATACTCTGATGAACAGTATACTATTATATTATACTGTTATATTTTTTCGCCTTAATTTACAGCTTTGGTCTCCATTTCTTCTATCTGATAGCTCATTTCCTGGTGGTGTGATAAATCGTTTATCCAAAAGCGTGAACTATACCCCACTGAATGTTAAGTGGAGTGAACAAATATGTTTTTAACTTGCGGTAGCTCTGCTTGTCACAAGAACCAGGATGTATGCAATGTTTCATGTATCACATTTAACAACACAATATTTTAAAATCTAAGTTTCTTAATCTATATATTGACATTATTAAATACATTTTATTCCATCCAATTTTTGTGTGTTTTCACATAGATATATACAATCAAAATCTATATTATAAATACTAAAATATTGATTAATTATCAAATATTCATAATATTAAAGATTTAATAGGTATTAACATCCTCTTGTGAAAATTGTGGAATCAACATAATATAAGACTTTTATTCCAACTACATTTATCTTTAAAAACAAAAACTGATCAACCAGCCAAAGTATAAAAATAACTTTCTATTAATATATGTGTGGATCTTGATAGAAAAGATTTTAAATTTTAAAATTTTGTAATCAATTTTATTAAATAAGTAATTTTA